TGGTGTATCCCACCGCCGCCCTCAGGCCCCGTCCTGCTTAGCCGGTACATTAAGCTCTTTCCTTTAATTTGTACAAGGCATGCTGTTCCTTTCCCTAACGAGTTTATGCTCAAATAAACGAGACAAAGGGCATGGGAAAAGAGTGCGGCACATAAAGTTGGTGCAGCAGATCATGGTTTGCAAATGTCATCTTCCCTCCACCAAGTGGAGGTGGTTCCTGCGTGCTTGAAATGGCAAAACGAGGCACGGAGCCGGCGTGGGCGGTGAGCGGGAGCTGCGGACAGGGAGGAGAGCGGGGCAGCCAAGGTGGGATTAAATGGGATTACTTATCTCTGGCTGCTCCTGGTAGTCCAGTTTGAGTACTGCCCGCTGCTGCCACCATTTCTATCTGTCCGCAAATAACTGCTGGACTTTGGATGGTGACTAAACCGTCCCGAGGAACGTGGAGCTACCTGCGCTGCAGGTGCGTCGGGGCAGGGCTCTCCTCCCCTTTGCCGCGCTTGCCCATAGGGATGGAGCAGCCTCGCCGGAGCACCGGGCTGGACGCGGCTACCGCTGGAGAGTTTAGGCTGTTTGTGTTCAGCCAGCGTGAGTTGTGTGTAGACAACGCCCAAAATCATTCATTTAGTCAGCAAGTGCTCCGTGGAAAAATAGATACGTTTTCGTATCAAAGCTATATGTAGGTTCTATAGAACAAGCAGAATTTATCTCAGATTGCTTTATTTCCTTATTATTTCTACGAGCTCTCCAACGGCAGAAGCAGCTGTCTGTGCCCAGGGTGCCGAGCAGTTGGCTACAGCGCTTTCTGCTGAGAGATGCTGAATTTAAGGGGGGAAAAAACCCCAAACTTTTTACTGAGTATTGTGGCTTACTTGATGTTTCTTATCCTAATCAAATCATGTTGTTTTATGGGAAGAAAATGTGTTTAATGCTCAGAAGTAGGTCACCCTGGATGCCTGGGAAGGGCAGGCTGTCAATAGCTGCCTTTTCCAGGAGGTTGCTGAGAGTCTGGCTTCTGCTCCCTGATGCATCTCCCCCTCTTTAACGACCACCCTGGGCTGCTGGTCCTGCGTGCTGGGAGCTGAGGCCGCACGTTTCGGGTGCGAGAAGAAATTCAGAGGTTGCCTTCTGCCTTTCTTTCCCTTCTGATACGGCCTGACGCTCACGCCGGCTCCTCCGGCAGCCCCGGCCGGCTGCCTGCCCTGGTTCCGATGCTGCGTCAGCTGAGACGTGCTTTCTGGCATCTTCTCCGAATTGCCCCCCCCAAAAAACTTTAATTTCTTTTTATCAGCAGTCCCTTCTGGGAAGTAACAGCTCTCTCTTTTGATGGATACGTTTCATTTCCAGCCTTTCTCTCTGTATTTCGACTGCAATGCATCTGCTACATGAGTACAGCCTTTAACTTTCACAGCTCGTGCCTTAGCGCTCTGTTTCTTAATGCTTTTGCACGTCATGCGTTGACCAGACGGGGCTGCGTTTAGAGCGGTCTGATCGAACAATAAATCGTAGCGGCGTGGTTGCAGTCTTCACCTCCTCTTGTCGTCTAAATGGGTTGCTCGGGTGTGCCACGTTGTCTTGTTCTCACTCAAATAAGTGTAAAATGAGATGCAGGCCTCCTTCGGTGCGTGTGTGACTCGTCAGAATGTCACAGTTTTTTAGCCGATGAGGCTGCCTTAGTAATAAATATCAATTTTGCAAAGGCTGCTGTCAGCTCAGTCGTTTAAAAACAAAGAACAAATTAAAAAAAAACCCCACCAACAACAAATATAAACTGCTGGTCCAGCGCTTTTGGGGAACTGTACGGTGTTGGATTGCAATCGCTGCTGCCCCGGTTGAGAGCGAGCGGCAGATTGCAAGTCTCCAGCGCGTTGCGTTTTTGGAGGGGTCGCGCTGGTACAGCCTCCAGCTGAAGAGCTTACCTGGTGTTTATATTCTAATGTATTTTTAGTTGCAGTCACATTGTATAGCTCCTGGTAAACACTTTATTAAAGTGAAGCTTTTATTAAAGATGCAGCAGCATCTCTGACTGGAGGAAGGAGTCCAGATAAATCTAGTCAAATTTGCTTTGACTTCTCTAGAGCACCATAAAGCATCAAGTACTTGTAATTTATAAACACATATGCGTGCGTGTATACATCTGTCTTATAAAGAAGAGTTCTTTATTAGGTCTGAAACCAGGCTTCTGCTGGATATTTGTAAACTTTCTTAAGAAATCCTTTTTCAGTGGATGGAAGCCTGCTGTGGTTCTGTCTGGGTTTATAGCGAAGGGGGTTGCTACTCAGCTTGCCTTAGCTGCTTTTGAGAGATCCGAGTGACTTCTTTTTTTTTTTTTGTTCTTGATTAGATTTTAAAATTTATTCTCTGCACCTAAATGAAACTTGATACCCACGTTTTTAACTTAGAATGAGTTCAAGTTGTGGACAGCAAGGGCAATATTTTCTGGATTTCATGAAATTTGCTTTTAAGCCCAAAGATTTGATGATTATTTTTTTTTTCTTTTTTAAAACTTCTTAACTTCTGACATCACTTGCATTTCCCCGATGACAGCATCTAGAGAGGCTGTGGGCTGGAGAAGCCGAGGGAGCTGCTCCCATCCCAACCCTGCGCCATTTTGCGAGTCCAGATGCAGCGATGAGGCCGACGAACCTGGTAACGATGATCGCTCGCTGGGAGCGAGCGATCGAGCGCACGTAAATGGGGGGTGAGGGGCCTAAAAAGGTCTGAACACCAATTTGTTGACGCAATATGTCATGTAAGAGGAGAAATGGGTTATCTCATCTCGCGTAGGTTTACGCTCCTCTGGCGCAGTAGAGCTAAAACTCGAGAGTCCTTTTCTGTGTTGGCCAGTAAATGTGCAGAGGGCTTCCAGGAGCAAATTCATCCCCGTCCTGCGGGGCGTCAGCGTCGTGGCAGGGATGGACAAGGCGGCTGTGGATGTGAATAGAGAGGCATATGAAAAAAGCAGATGTGAAATCAGAGATGAGAATTGCTGGATGCTACAACCGAAGCATTCATTTCCGAGGCTCCGGAGGAGCTCAAGCGTTGGGATGGGGTCGACTCAAAGCCGCGCACAGATGAGAAGAGGAGGAGCTGAAGGCAGCAGGTCAAGCGTGCATGAAGCGTGCTGCAAAACCCAGGCATGAGCTGGAGGCAGGGCAGAAAGCTGGGGTTTCATCCCAGGGTTCCCCTTCCAGCACCGCTTGTCGTGTTTCTGAATACACCCTCACTAAGCTGCACCAAATCCGATAAGAATCATTTCAATTAGCTTGTTAAGTGTTGAAACTTTCTGCGGCAGAGCTCCTGTTCCCCCCAAACCCGCGTGCTGTCTCTCGTGGCTGTGTAACCCCCGAAGCTGGAGTTAAATCAGTTTTTGCAAGGCCATCTGTCAGCTTGTTTGAGATGAGCACAGCCGAGTGCCATGCACTGAGTAGCTAGTGGAAGATTTTTTTTTTCGTTTTCTGCCTAGACAAGTTGATTTTATAAAGCTGATATTGGGGAGGGGGGGGCAGGTTTGCTGGTGATGCTCTTGTCCACCTGAAGCATCATTTCTCCTGGAGATCCACAGTTCCTCGCCTCTGATACCTTTCCTTCGGTTGGGCGGTTGGTGTTGATTCCACATTTGGTACGTGTACAGCAGCAGACACTTAAAAGCTGGGAATGAAAGCAGCTTGTGGTAATTATCACAAAATTAAAGATAATCTCCTGCTCTGGAATTGTGACAAAGTGCAGGAAAGAGATTAGTGCAGTCGCAGAGCGGTCTCAGCCGTGGCAGGGAGAGCGTAGCCTCCCTGGCCCAGGGTCCTCTTGGGCGCGCTGTGTTCCCAGCCATTTCCAGTGTTCAACATGGAGCAGCATTTGCCCCTTTGGGTTCCTCTGTGGCCTTGAGTCACTGCTCCAGCTCGCACCCTGAAAATTTGTTAGCCAAATGCTTGCCCAGTGCCATATCTCCTGCTCCCCTGGCCGTTGCAGGGCTTTGTTGAGCGATCATAAAATTGTGTTGTCTTAGGCCAAAGAACTAATTTTTCGGCACAAAAACTGATGTGGAGTTTGAGCTGGCGGTGGCCCTCGGAGCTGTGGGCTGGTGCAGTCCCAAAGAGCTGGAGGGAGCGATGGGGTCTTGCGTTGGCCATCATGTGCAGCAACGGCCCCTTGGCTGAGGGATGGGCGACGCCGGTGAGCAATGGAGGGCAGCTGCTCCGCACCAGTGAGGGGTTCCTGCTCTGCTCGCCTCCCGTCCTCCTCTTTGAGATGGGATTATGCGGTGCGGCTTGCACGGAGGGAGCAGGATTTCATACCTTGGCTGCAGTCCTGTGATTCCGTTCCTGATGTGAAACTTGGGGCAGTAAGAGCACGATTTAAAGCAAAACAACAACAAGAAGTGAATCTTCCCGTGCCTCTCTGGCTTTGCAAGCGCAGGCCAAGCTGTCGGGCGGGGGGGTTGCATTGCAGACAATTCAAAACGCCACATTGGCAAGACCCGTTTTGCACCAGGGGATCCCCAGTTTGCTGAGACCGGATGGTGAGAGAACCTCAGCGCTTCTGATCAAGAGCAATTTCATCTCCCCTGTGACCACCGAGGGTTTTTTGTTGGGTTTGCTGTCTTCTTGCTTCCCAAGGTGTGAAATATTTCCTGATATAACTGAATCATGCGCTTTCCTAGCGCTATTGTCATCTGCAGAGCATTGCGCTCCTGTTATGCCCAACCTCTTGCTCAGGCTCCTTTTGAAGCAAGCCCTGAAGCATCGCTTGTATTTGAGGAGGTTGGGCAGTTACCCACTTAAACCATCGTAATTCCTCCTCGGCCAAATGGGGGAGATGCTGAAGCAGCAGCACATTGGGCTGGATCCTCTGGGGCTTTTCCTGCTCTCCAGCTGCGAGGGCTGGACATCTCCCGCTCCCCCTGGAGAGGGACCACCTCCCCAGCTCGAGCGTAGATGTCCCTCTTGAGTCAAAGGATTTGCATGCCGGCAGGCGGTTGTGTAATCCACCCGTTGCCCTCACGTGGGGAAAAGTTATGGGCTTGGCAGAGCCTTTCTTCTGCACAGCCAAAACTCTCAAGCTCTGCTCGATGGTCTCTTGCGAAATTAAGCCCTTCCTGAAGGATTCTGGGTTGCTCAATGATCCGTGCTTGTGGGAACACTTCAGACAGGAGCAGGGAGCAGCAGACTCGTACCTGGAAGCAGATGGCCTTGAATCTATCGCTTGGGTTCGCGTTCTTTGCAAGCCGGCTTCTCTCCTAATAACTGGGCTCTGGATGCAGAGGTGGTTGGGGGAGGCTGGGGAGCTGCCTTGGCAGGGGACGTTGTGCTGCTGGCATGGGGTGGCCAGCTCCTCTTAAGCAGCTCTTGATCCTGGTTCACGGTGGTTCTCCGGAGTCAGCTGGGCTGGAAGCTGTGGTCCCACGCGCGAGGCTCTCGGCCGGTCAGCGAGCACCTCGCGGGGCGGGCAGCAGGAAGCCTCTCGGCACTGTTGCCTGAAAATAAGGAGCTCCTTGCAAACTTGGGCTCGTGCTAGGAAATGGAAAGGTGGCCTCATGTTAGAGGAGGGTTTGGGCCTGTGTTTCCAACTCTGATTATATATCTGAAAGCTTTAGGCAAAATCCTAATTTCTTACCGTTCACTGTAATGGAGTAATGGTGGCTTCTCCCAAAGGCAGTGGTAGAGATAAATGATGCATTCATTTTCACGATATATTTGGACATTGGATTCTATAAATAGATTCAATTATCAATATAGTTTGTCAAGTGCCTTCTGAGTGGCTGGAAAGCAGCTTCATAAGCGTCTCTCCGGGCTTCTGTATGTAACCGACTCTTCAGTGTAGTGCGGACCTATTACTTACGGTGCAGCAGGGATTTACAAGAACTCTCTCTACTGAAGCCTCTAGGAAACATTATCGGTAGGAAAAATTGTGCATCTTTGTGCTTCTGAATATGAAATTGTTTGGGTGACCCCTATAACTTCAGACTCCTGCACTAGTGAAACCGAAGACTGAACGAAACCAGCTGCTTTTAAAGGCTTTCCAGCTTGCTTGAAAAACAAAGCATTAGGCTATTTTCTCGGTGGTATTTTTTTTTGTTTTTTTTTGTTTTGTTTTTTTTTTTTTCTGATGTCCCTACTTTTACTGATGCTCTTCCCTTCTCTCCTCAGGTCTGGCACCAAAGAAGGCAGCCATCACCGAGGTGAGACATGTAAAGCTGGCCTTGAAAATCCCATCTTGAGAAATGAGTACACAGAGCTCTAGAAAACACTTGTCTGCCTTTTTTTAGCGAATCTGGATTCCAAAATACATTTAAAATTACTGAAAATCCGATATCTGTTATTTGGGAGAAAGAAAATTAGTGGCAGGTCTCTGGAGTCCCTGTGTTGGCATCACCACGGTCATGGAGGGGATGTGAAGGGCTTATGCCCACCGCGTGGCCAATTGTAGCTGCGTGATCCATGATACCCGTAAGTAAATGGCTGATGGCACGTCTTCCACACCAGAACCTGAAGGTGATAAATGGAGAATCTGTGTACTGGGCATCTCCAGGGCTCTGTGTTGGGTCTCACCCGCTCCTGGGAGCGCGTCAAGGAGCCTGTAATATGTGAAGCCATAAAACAGGGGAACATCTCAAGGGACTGATCTTCTCTCACACGTAATCCAGGTCGCAGGTTGCTGAATCACTGTTACCTTCTGGAGCAAAACTCTTCACAGTTGGCAGCAGGGAATCTAGTAGGAGGATCTGTGCCTGAAAGCTGTTCCCTGAAGCCCACACTCTTGGTTTAGGGCACCATGTTCAAATGATTTTTATTCAATCTAACTTTCTGGCATACCCCGTTACATTATTCACCTGGGTTGAGGAGCATTTGTATACATGAATAGCAAAATCTTCCCATAAAGCTGCCAGGGATGTGATGCTTGATTCTTTTTGCCTCCCCAGAAATATGCATAGTAGGAAGCTCAACTTCTGTGAAAGTTGATTGCTTTGTTCAATGCACAAATACTCCCACTTCTTCTTGCCCTGGAAACACAGTCACAGGTAGAGCAAGAGACTGTGAAAAAGACTTTTGTTACTGCATTTCATATGATGGCAGTCTCTTAACCAATACCTGTGTCTGTTAATCACTTTGAGGGGATGATGATGAGCCACGTGGCGAGGCAGGACCGTACAGCTTGAGCTTGCGTGTAATAGGATCCAGCTTGTTGGTGAGAAGCTGCAAGGAAAGGATAAGCTGTCCTGCTAATCACAACTGCTTGGAGGAGTACTCGGAAGCAAGCCTGGCTCTGCTAAATGTTTAAAACAGAGTAGGAAATAAGATTTTTTTTTTTTTTTTTGAAGGAGAAATCAGACTGCCCCTTAGTACTAGAAGTACAAGCAGTTTGACCAGAAATAGCTGCAAGCTCTTGATTAAAAGCTAAAACACAAAGAACTTCTGTAGTCTGAACAAAATTATACATTGTCTGCTGTAGACATCAGTTCTGAGAGATGGGTCTGTGCGGCACTTGAGAGAGACAGTGATATCATATTGTCACTTGGGAAGCGACCTTGGATCTCTCTGCACGCTGCTTAAAGGAACATCCAAAGCCCGGCTGTTCTTTAATGTAACGACCCCCCAGATGTGGCTGGCGGCTCACCGGCAGTTTTAGCCACTGGCTGGGGTCCACAATCTGCTGGGGTGGTGGGAGAGCTGGGGAGTCGGGGAAGCGTTGTCCCGTGGCAGGGCACAGAGGCCTTATGCTTGGGGTTGCAAAAGGAGCTGTATCAGACTTCACCAAACAAAATTGTGTTGGCTCGTTAAAGCGTACGGCCGCAATCTGCTCCCTCCTGGATCAGCAAAAAAAGGCCCAGGCAGACTCAGAGGTAGAAGAGGAGGAAAATGGGATAGGAGTAGGTTCGTTCTCACTCTTAAGTGCTGGCAGTCCTTTAGTGTTTCCCTAAACTCTTTGCAAAACTTCAGGCAGAGCTATTAGTGCCTTGTGGGCTCATCCTTTGAATTGCAGACAAATGCGATCTCGCTTAAATGGATTATCTCCATGTGAACACAGGAGTGGGGTGGTGGTGTCCCCGTTATCCGTCTCTTACTTCTCCAGTGAAGCGCAAGGTATTGGTATGACACCCGAGGGCATGGGATTTTTAAGAATAAACTTCTCTCGCTGTTTGATTTAATACATCACTATTTTAAATCAATGAGCAACCGCAGTCAAGCAACTGCTGCGGAATCTTGGCAGCTGGGAAGCAAGCGGATCTTCCCTGAGCTCAGCATCTTTGCTGGGCTCTGCCGAGGGTGTCAGATGGAGTGGTTGGGTATTCTAACTTTTCTTGTCCTGAGGGATGGATGTATAATTCAAACAGCCTTGTTTAAGACTTGCTGGTCCCAATTACACCTGTTTGCACTCTGCAGATTTTTCTCCAGCAGTAGAGAGCAATCCCTCTGTCCTTCCCAACCGCGATAGCGTGGCTGTGCCTGTGCTGCTCTGCTCCTTCTTGTCGGCCAGGTCAGCTTCTGTTCTGGGCTTTAGCTGTGTTCTTTCATTGCAGGGACCATCGCTACCAGGACAGCCTGGCCAAGGAAAGAAGATAGGTCATCGAGGCGTTGATGCTTCTGGTGAAACCACCTACAAAAAGGTTTGGTTTTGTGAAGTGGGAACTGGCAGCTACGGGTAGGTGGCAGGCTGAGAAGAGAAGTTGGGGCCCAAGGTTGGCAACAGCACAACCGAGCTTTCCTGGTTCAGTTTGTTAATAGCTACCAACCTGATTTAGATTGTATGCAGCACCCTTGTGTTGCATAATCTTGCAAACAGCAAACCTTCTGGAAGCCTTAATCCATCTCTTCAGCAGCTGCTTGAAGTTGTTTAGCAGTATGCAGTGCCCGAGACAACCCCACAGAAGTAATAGACACAACTGTATTGTAACATAGGGGATATTATCGCAATAATCTGCTGCAAAATGCTCACTGACTGCTCTTTTCTTCCTGCCAGACCACCTCATCCACTCTGAAGGGAGCCATCCAGCTGGGGATTGGGTATACCGTCGGCAATCTGAGCTCCAAGCCAGAGAGAGATGTCCTGATGCAGGACTTCTACGTGGTGGAGAGCATTTTTTTCCCAAGGTAAAGGAGACAGGGGAAACAAAGCGAACGGATGAGTTATTTCTTCTCCTCTCACTGATTTTTCAAAAGAGCTTCCATCTGCCTTTAGATCACAGAGTTGGATGCTCTGCATGTTTTAAATATGCATCCATTACATACAAACGTAACAGTGGGAAGTGTTAGATTCTGCAGTACACTGGCTTGCAAGGAAGTACAATGTAAGATGCAGTACTATATGCTTGAGTTTGTTAGCCTTCCTACGTGCTTTTCTTTCTGTCCATCTCAAATTTCTTCCATCAAATTATACCATGTTTGAGATGGAAGAAACTCATTCTGGGAGCTCTCTAACTCTGTGAATAAACAAAGCTCATAAAAGCTGTATTCTCTGTGTAAATATATTCTGCTTGGCAAGTGGTTGTTCCTTGCACTCTTTGGAAATAGATTTTGGCAGATAATTTAAAACCTATTTTCCTGTTGTCCTGCCACAGGAGAAAGTTACTTTTTGTTGTTGTTGTTGTTCCCAAGATGTCTTTTTGCAAGGTTCAAAGCATCTTAAATATACAGTAGCCTTGATGTGACTGTAGCTGTCTGGTTAATGGTGACACAGAGGCCCCACTCATGTGATGTCTGTTCTGTGCAGCGAAGGCAGTAATCTCACCCCGGCTCACCATTATGCTGACTTCAGGTTCAAGACCTATGCACCAGTGGCATTCCGGTACTTCCGAGAACTCTTTGGGATTCGACCAGATGATTATTTGGTATGCATATATCATTGGATTTCTCTGTCTTTCCTCCTTTATTTGAGATGGTCTAGAGTAACACGAGAAATTTGCCCCTAAATCAAGGCTGTCAGCAATTCTTGCCTAAAAGGGCTAGAAAAGAGTTGAGGAATCGTTCTGATCCCAGCAAGGAGTGGGAACAGACTGTGGATTTAGTGACTGTGCGGTTTTGGAGGAGATGCAGTGACGGTCCCAGCAAGAGCAGCACCGCTCAGCCCAAGTCTTCGTTTGCTGAGAGGTAGCTGCTAGCTTACACTGGAGGGAAAGGAAATGATCTGCATACAGCGTCTGCTCTGTAAGCTCTGCCATGGGGTTCCCTCTCTCTTGCTTGTGGTGACAATAACTTACTGTGTTTACAAGCAAAAGGAGTTGCGTTCTGCTGGGTGCAACCCTGTAATGTCCCCCAGGGCTCTGAGGACAAAGATGGGAGTTTTTCCTTGTGTACTCACTCGAGAGCTATGTGAGTGTAGTTATTTTAATCATCTTACAAAGACAGAATAAAATACAGCTTGTTCTTGGGCTCAGAAAGCTCCTCAGAGCTGAAAAGGCTGTTTTTAAACTACCTAGTAGTACAAGCTGTAGGGGCTTGGAGTACACTGGGGTTGAATTTGGTCCCTTGCATGTATGTGACGTCCTGCTCTTTAGAAAAGGACATTTGTTGAACCGGGGAAGGGAACACATCCAAATGAGCGCATGCCCTCCCCCTTTTTTAATAGCCCTTTTTTTCTGACTTCAGCTGTAGACAGGGGTAATCGTAACTGACCACCTACAAATAGAAACAAATCTGTGCCATTGCACGGCCTGACAGTAACAGCGGTCCCCATCTGTGCCATCCAAGATAATGCTGGCTGATTTGATGAGTGGTTCAAAACTTGGGTGAGGCAAAGAGCCTGCCGCAGTTGCAAAGGTCACGGCTCTGATTTGTTGCTTCTGCTTCCCCTGATTCTCTCTTGCCTGCCACAGCAGCAAATGCCTTTAATTATGCATGAGATAATTAGCTTGATAAAGTCTTGGATCATTAATCTGTGCAGTGCTGAAAGCTGTTTTCAGTACGTAATGATGAGCATTTAATTTATTGCTCTGATTATGTCCCTTACATCCCCTGCCTCCCTCTCCCCATCTTACCTCTTGCTGTGGCAGCTCTGACGTGATGCTGCCCTGAACCCGCTCGACCTGTGCGGTTGCCCTGGGGTTGGTACCTCGCTGCAAAGTGCTTGCACTTTCTTCTTTTTTTTGTTTTTTTTTCCTGCTGCTAGGCATGTCCTCGTTTGAGGACCTGCTGTTTGCATACTGATGTCTAGAAATGTCCTCCCAGTTCAATTCCCGGTGCAGTACCCCTTGCTGTGCTTACACAGCGCTGATCCCTCTCTTCTTGTTTGGACACCTGGTCTAATACTTTTCCTGTGTTTCTAGCAGGATTGAGGGGGTGAGATGTGGCTGTAAAAATCCTCTGTAACAGGGGAGCACAAGGCCAGAGGAGGCTGCTGAGCGCAGCCAGCGCATTGCGTTCCCTCCAGCGCGGTGATACGTGGTCCCCTCAGCAGACTGTCATATCTCTTAAAATCCTGTCTTTCCGTCTGCGCTCGCGGTAACGTGCCGAAAGAAGCCCAAATGTGATACACGCGTACACGCACAATGGGAAAAGATAAGATGTCATTATGAAGCCTGGATGTTACTGAAAGCAGATTATTAGCTTGATTCTGAGCAGCTGGGATGCTCTGAAGTGTCATCTCGGTCTCTAATTGTAAATTATCCGTCAGCTTTGCTGCTTAGGCCTAACCTACAATGAAAATAGTTCTCACTTAAGCTTTGCTACCCCTTAATCTCGCAGGGAGACGGCATGCTGGGGAAAGCCCTCAAGGGCATAGAACTCAATGTGCAATGAGTGGGGGCTAAAAACATCATCTTTTTTTCTTTTCCTCCCTAGTATTCGTTATGTAACGAGCCTCTGATAGAGCTGTCGAACCCTGGTGCCAGCGGCTCCCTCTTCTATGTCACCAGCGACGATGAATTCATCATAAAAACTGTGATGCACAAAGAAGCTGAATTCCTACAGAAGCTCCTTCCTGGCTACTACATGGTGTGTATCGCCCAGCGCCTTGGGCCCAGCTCGGCTTTTGTCGTGGTGGCTTTTCTGTCCAAAGCATAGCACAGGGCATGTCCTCCACCTGGGCTTCTTGTGGCCTGACACCGTTAACTGTGTCACAAAGCCAGGCCCAGAAGCACAAATCCTGCCAATTATTTGCAAACTTGAGGCAGATAATTGTGCCGTAGGTTGTAGGCATGGTCTGGCCTGGAAATGGCTTCCCAGATGTGCATTTCTGGGTGTCCTTTTCCCAGCGCTAGTTCATTCTTCGCTTGGCACCACGCGTCTGCCTCAGCCTAGCTTTGAGGATGAGTTTTGATTGCAATAACGCAACCACCTTGGTTTCGTGGGGAAACCGCTGCTGTCCCTGGATATCTCCCATATCTGCTGTTTAACAGAGTGGCTCTGCAGGCAGTTCTGGTTGTCCTGGCTCCCACCAGCTGCACCACCAAGCTGAAGACTCCTGCGGTACTAGCCAGCTTTGCACATTCACTCTGCTGCAGATAGTTGTTGCCTAAATCTCAGGGCTAGCAAGGCAATATATTGAGATCCGGAGGACTCGCATGTGGTGCCAAGTAGTAAATCAGAACCAAACCCGATGCTTTGGTGTGTAAACCGGGAGCCGTCTCCCTGCGTAACTGTGGTGAAGGGTCCAGCTCTATGGATGAGGGCACTGCAATTCAGTTAGAACCACCCAGGGATTTGTTTGCCGTGGAGATGCCGAGAAGAAGGTGGTGGCAAGCGATGTTAATGCTGCCCCGTTTGATTTATGTGATCGTACACCGTTTTTATTAAAATACTTGCCTCGCTCAGTATTTACTGGGGAAAATTTGCCAAAGTCAGACAGGGTCTTGAGTGTCTGTATATAACCAAGAGCCAGTTGCTTGCTTTTGCAAGTGACAGTCAAGTTCCTGGACAGGATCAGCTTTCTTGGAAAGTGTTGCCTGTTCCCTAATGTACGTAGTAAATCAGGTGAAGGGTTTTGAATGGGAATGGAGTTGCACTGTTGTCCTGGCTAGCAGTCAGTGTAACGAATTAAACTGAACTTACCTGTCTGGTCCGGAGTTACGTGCTACTTGTTGTAGCGTTCCGGTGTTTGTGGGTTGCTGTGGTGCTAATACACGATCTCGCTGCTGCTCTTGGGAAACCCATCTGGTGTCAAAGGAGTCAGCGGAAGGGAAGCAGAGTGGTTTCATCCTGAATTACTTTAAAGCTGGGCAAGCGCTGTTTGCGTTCGGTCTTGCCTGCTTCTCTTGCTTTCCGCTTGCACCGTGTTGAAGAGCGTGCTCACAGAGGGCTCACTCGTGTGCCGTTAGGTGAGATGAGGAGGGGGCATGAAATGTTAATACAGTCGTGCTTCTGCCGTCTGTCAGAGAATCTGTCGAGTCTGTCCGTTCTTTCGTAGCGTGCAGAGATGTTCTGTTTCCTTCCCAAATTTCCCCAAAGCTGAATAAGCACATCATGCCTGTCATGTCATTCCTAATAATACCGCTGCCTAAAAAAAGGACATGATAGCAGAGCAGGATATCCGTGCTCTCTGGCCAACTGTGTTTTATAAAGCAACTCCACAAAAGGAGGAGAAAATTGATGATGTTTTGTCTAAAAAAATACTGTGTCCCAGGTTTATTGTGGGCCAGAGAACGGCTCTTGATTTCTGACACTTCTGAAGTGATGAAGATAGCTGTTATTTTTTAACATGAAGTTCCCGCTTATTGTGTTTATTTATCTTCCAGTTTGGTTTCCCTTTTTTAGCTGCTGTTGATGGGGAAAGAGGGGAATTTCCGGACTTGGTTATTTGCCCAGAGAGTGCTGTACATCGCATTTCGCATTCCCTGTATTCAAGACACACTGGTATTTTCAGGTCCTAAAGCCACTGAAATGCAAGAGTTTGTCATATATGTACAGTAAGCTCTCATGTAAAGTTCAGAAAATCTCTAGGTGAAGAAACCCTAGTCTGACTGCTCCAAGATCTGTTACCATGCTTTGTGTTGAACACAGCAGGAGTCTTCTGCCGAAATGATCTTTCCCCATGCTTTTTTTTTTTTCCCCAATCCTGCTGCAGAATCTGAACCAGAACCCACGGACACTGCTGCCGAAGTTTTATGGACTGTACTGTGTGCAATCGGGGGGCAAAAACATCCGCGTGGTTGTGATGAACAACATTCTGCCTCGTGTGGTGAAAATGCATCTGAAATTTGACCTAAAAGGCTCAACCTATAAACGCCGGGCATCCAAGAAGGAAAAAGAAAAGTCCAGCCCTACGTACAAGGATCTAGACTTCATCCAAGACATGCCCGAGGGCCTGATGTTGGATGCAGACACCTTCAGTGCTTTGGTGAAAACGTTGCAACGAGACTGTCTGGTAAGGAGCGGGGCAGCTTGGGCAGCAGATTAATGAAGTTCTGTGGCTTTCAAGCATGAGAAAGAGCAAATGATTGAGAACCTTGCTAATCTGTTAACCCCAAAGCACGATAAATCCCTTCTACTGCCCTTTTCCCTGAAAGCAAAGCAGTGGAGTTGGATCTCATGACAGCTTCTGAGGACTAAGGCTGCGTTCCTTTGCCTGGTGCATCAAATCGTGGCAGCCTGCTCCACTTGTCGCTGGGCTGTTGGGACTAAACACATTTTTTTCTCTACAGTGTGCAGCAGATACACGGTATGACAGTGTTATTTGCAAGCCTTCAGCCCTTTGGGTTGATTGTGGGATGGCCAAACTATGCGATCAAGTCCAGAGATGACTGTTGGTTCAGAAATGTTTAAGCTCTGGCGAAAGAGTTGTTAGTGGGAATGCGGACGGGCTGTTCCATGCTTTGAGATCTGTGCTGTATTTGAGCTGCTAGCCTGATATTTTGTCTTTGTTCTTAAACTCGATACTAACCTGTAGGTGTTGGAAAGTTTTAAAATCATGGACTACAGCCTCCTGCTTGGGGTTCATAACATAGACCAGCAAGAACGGGAGCGACAGTCTGAGGGAGCCCACAGCACGTCGGATGAGAAGCGGCCCGTGGGGCAGAAGGCACTTTACTCCACGGCCATGGAGTCCATCCAGGGTGGGGCTGCCCGGGGGGAGTCCATAGACACAGACGACACGTAGGTGAAAACCTGGTTCTCCTGCGCTGCTGGGAGGGGCGGAGGTGGAGGCTGGAGTAGTAAATCCTGAACTGAGTCCCATATGAGCTGTTAGAGCGAGCATCAATCCTGGGGTTTACTGGTGCCAGTAAAGCAGTGTGGTGTGAAAGGGGGAAGCTGGGGTGGGAAGTATTTCTATAAGACTCCAGCCTCACAGCAGTCTCTCTTCTTAGGCCAGTCTGTAGGTTGTCAGCTCCTGTAACAGCCTCTAAACATCCACCCATGCTCTGGGGAGGAGAAATTAGCTCAGTTCTAGCTCAGCACCCAGGTACTGGAGTGGAAGTAGAGATCAGCCTGTTCCTAGGAGCTTGGGGTTTGTTCCCCATCACTCCATCTTTGGAATCGCTGACAGTACCCTGAGGCCATCCCAGTGCACTTAGCAGACAGCAATGTAGCCACATGCTGGAGTAACTGGTGGAGCTGTGGGTTGGAGGGGGTTGCCCAAAACCTGTCCTGCGCTGTGCCCGATCTGTGGCTCCCGTGACTGTCTCGCTGGCTCTGCAGACCAAGCTTGCTAACAAATGGTGGAGTTTGCTGTTTGTTGCTGTCTGAAACCAGCTGCTCCAGTTGCGATGGAGGATCAGTCACGGTGGAGCTGGGTTAATACTTTGATGTTTCCGTTCTTTCAAGTAGCATCATTAATGGCGGGGGCCTGCCTGATACCTGCATGCTTTTGTTGTGTGCTGGTGCTAGTGGTTGCTGCACCTTTGGCAGGACTGATATTAGTGTGGATGGGACTGGAAATACCCTCGTCCTTAAAGGTTTGCTGCCCTAATAGGCAGACAGCTCACGCTGACCTGATAAATAATCTGATCCCCGGAATAAAATGTCCTGTAGCCAAGAAAAAATGATGTGGTGCTTTCTGGCCCAGGCAGAGCTGTTGCCACACAACCCAGGTCCTGTCCTGATAGCTGGTGTTTGGCGATCCAGGCGGGCAGTAACCCCGGGGACACTGCGTGAGATGCGCTGGGTCGGTAGGTGACTTCCCAGGGTTGTGCACAAAGCGACTTCGCAGGTTTTGTGTTGTGTCTGCCCACCGCATCTGAGGCCTCTTTTCAGTGCCGCCGTCCACCCTCCCGCAGGTCTCGGGGGTATTTCAGCTGCTCTTTTTGAGGCTGCTCTCGCTGAGGTTTTGTTTTGCCTGCAGGATGGGAGGAATCCCAGCAGTGAATGGCAAAGGAGAGCGTCTCCTGCTACACGTAGGAATAATAGATATCCTTCAATCATACAGGTGGGTAACTTTGCAGTTGTCTGTCCTTTAAGTGTGTTAACTTCTATTTTAATACTGAATGAAAGCAGGAAGATTTTCCTCTCCTGAGGAGTTTGATAATGAGTAGGCAGGCTGCCTGAAGCCGTCTGTCGATGTGTGTCGGGGGCTGTGGATTTTTATCCTGTCCTTAGAACAGCTGGTGACACAGAGCCATTTTTCTAAGATGTAATGAGTTGCTCATAAAGAAGTTTCCCATCTCCGTGCCTAGGATGGGTAGCGTATCTCCAGGGATGGAAGCTGATTTTCTGCCTCTCTTCCAGCCCAGCTCCTCCTTCCCTGTAGGGTTCCCAGGCAGTCCTGACCTGACTGCAGAGATGCCGGCGTGCTCAGCCGACCTCTCTTGGCTGGAGGAAAGCTACGCTCCGGATGACAGAGGAATCATTAGCAGCTCAGTGATCTCCCCTGTGTGGGCTATGAAAGGTGGCTTAGATATAGAGTACGTGCCTGAATCTCTCTTTCTCTCTACTTCTCCCCTGGAATTAGGTTCATCAAGAAGCTAGAACATACCTGGAAGGCCCTTGTGCATGACGGGGTGAGTGCCTGTGCAGAGGCAGGAATTGTCCAGGCCTCGGCAGGATTACCTGCCGTGGCTTCGTTTATACGAGTTGGTGCCGATTACCTTGCTATTTATAGTGCCTGAACTGGCACAGCTGAAGCTGATGGAAGGAATAGTTCTTGCCTCTTATGCCTCCACAGTGGTGTAGTGCCACTTATTCCCAATCAGGTTTTCTTGCTCACTCCACCTCCTCGCATGTTTAGCTGTCGTGCTACCAGCTTTCCTCCTCTGCTCCCATCTGTCATTTTCCTCCTCCCCATGATACCAGGAGCTGTACGCACAAAGCGCGTGCATTCGTGTGTTGAGGAGCCCTGCGTTTGCTCTCTTTGGTGATTTTGTTTCCACTTCAGTAAGCTATCTGTTAATAAATCCCTTTCAGTGTTTCCCTGCTGTCTGGTCTCTAGCAGCAGCCAGGTGTGTGTTTACGAAAGAGCAACCTTGGATGTGGAAACTGTTTTTCAGCATTGCATGTCCTAGCTTCCCTTAAATAATAAGGCAAAGGAGACGTGTAGATGCCAAGTCGCAGTAGCATGGTCGAACATCAGAAGCAGAGACAGCTTCAGTTTTACTGTTTTAAACAAAAAGTGCAAAACATTTGAAATGTATTGGAGACCCTTGGCTGAGTTTTGGTCTCCATGTCGTATGCAAAGGTATCCAGGTGTGCTTTGAATGTCAGCCAGCAAAGCCAGCTGAAATTTCATGTGTGTAATCAGGCCAATATTTGAAAAATCCAGGAAGTCTACAAAGGAATAAAATCACCAAAATCCATTATAAAATTACAGCAAGAATATAATCAAATGCAATCAAATCAAAGGCACCGCTTCAGGCTTATTTATAGCATTAATCAGATCATTTCAGTTAAGCCTTTCCATTTTAAGGCTCTATCAGTGCTAAATGTTGGAGTAAAAAAGACTGCATTGGTTGTTATAGAAATTCTGCCTTGAGGGATAATTTTAAAATTAAACAATTGCTTCTTGCCTTTGTAGGACACGGTGTCAGTACACAGACCCAGCTTTTACGCAGAGAGATTCTTCAAATTCATGACCAACACAGTGTTTCGAAAGAATTCCTGTAAGTACCTAGTCCAAGAGCTGTTGCCCTTGTGATGTGAGGCAAGCCTTATCTCAGTCTTGCTGCTTCAGTCCACGTGGAGAGTTTCTGGGCCGGAGTCTGAGCAGGCTTTTCCACTGTAATATAGAGCAAAGCTGGGGAACTGCAAAGCCCTCGGGTTGTCACGACTTCATAGGGCCTCTCTCTATGAAGGGACGAGTGCCTTTGGTGGGACAGGAGTTGGTGGTGGTAATTTCATCTTCTCTTTCACTCTTCTCACCCAGCTCTGAAGTCGTCTCCCTCGAAGAAAGGGCGTAGTGCCTTGCTAGCTGTCAAGACAGCTGGTCCAACAGCTGCATTTTCAGCTAGCCAGCTTCCCTCTGAAAAGGACGAAACACAATATGATCTTCGTGCGGCCAGGAGTTACCCCACACTTGACGATGAAGGTAATGGTCTCGTTGGGTGGCTGATGGCTGTGTGATTACCCTCTCTTTCCTAGCAGTTCCTTAGGATCCTCCCCTGTTCTCGTCAAGTTGCCCACTGTGCACCGACCACGTGTCTTCCTTGATGGATAGCTCTTCATTGCATGTCTTGCTGTGCTTTGCAGGTGCTAAACTTAGCCAGGCCAAGGGAGAAGGTAAGAGTATATTGTTTTGTCACAGCACCAGCAGTTAGTTGATTGGGAAAGCAACGCCTCTGCATCGAAGAAGACTGAATCCCTTCTTTGCAGCACTGTATGGTTCTGCAGTAAAAATGGTCGCTTGCGTCACTGCTGCAAGGCAGCCGCTGCCAACTGGCACCGGCAGTCATAGCCCAAAAGCGATCAGAAAGTTGAATTTTCCACCCTTTAAAAAAAAAAAAAAAGGGGGGGGGGGGGGAGAGCGGGGAATTTGGGGCTCTGACAGGGTTTGGGAATG